GCGTCTACTGCGAGCCCACCGTCACCGCGCTGTGCGAGCGCAGCACGCCCTGCCTACGCTGCACCGGTACCTTAACCTGCCGACGTCTCCTTCCCTGGCCTCCTTTCCTGTGTATTTAAAACATTTACTTTAAGTCTAAAATCGCATTATTTCACGGATCAAACCAGATCGTTTTTTTCATAGATCGGTGTTACTGAGGGCTCTACCACAAAAACAATGCAAATTGCAAACTGTACATTGTTAATTAAGCTTACGTTAGACGGATCTAGTGTTCCAACATCGTGAACTGGTTGTGTTTGAAACTCAGTAGAGTAACATAGGTCGATGTCACATCACCAGTGATCAAGAACCCGTTCTTCAAGTGCATCCCGGGCGAGAAGTACATGGACGAGTGCGATTCCTGCCGCTGCACCGACGGCCACGGCGGCTGGTGCACCAACCAGTTCTGCGAGTTCCGCGCCCTCCACCTCTACGCCATCAAACTCTCCGACGGCGAGTTCTACTGACTATTGACATTACATTGTCATCTTATAAGATTCCACTAAAAAAGATAGAATATAAAAAAGTATTTTTACTTGATGTTCCCTTTACACTGTCTGATTGATAACGTGGCAGTTATACTCCATTACACTCATAATATCTTAAATATAATAAATAAAAAAAATCTTTAAAAGACGTATAGAAATCTTTCAAAGCAGATCAATTAAGTTGCCTTCTAAGTTCACATAAAGCGAAGTACTTGAAAAAGAATAAAACGTACAAAGTATTACACAATAGCTCCCCTTTCACACATCGCGACTTGTTTTATATTAAAAAGCGATATTATATTATTAAGTATAAAGCTTTTGTGTGTATTTGTAGGTCTGTATGCGTAGATACAAAACAAATTTGTTTGAGTTGGGCTTACATGCCCACCCTATTAATTTGTCCGCGGGGACGCGGCGCGGCGCGGCGCGGTCGTGTCGACCCTGTCTGCACAGCCAGCGGGATCATTGCTGCTTTAGTTCACTTTGTCGACAGCTTTCTATACAGATGTTTTATTTAGTAAACTAATAAATGTAAATCCGCTTCCGACTCATTATGATTGAATCGACCCTTTGATAGCGCCATGTTTACTGGTTGATTTGTGTCTCTCATAAGCAATGATGTGAATTAAATGAAAACTTACGCCAGTAAAGAAGGAGGTGACAAAATTAGATCTTCGCGATAGTTCGGTAATGCATTTCATGGAGTTATCGAACCGAAAAAAGTAATCGTTAAATGTAGCTAGGAAACCGACTATAAGATGATCTATTCAAACTCTACAGCTTATTTAAAAAACATTAACATGTTAATAAAACTAAATGCAATTTCTGTATAATAAAAATAACACGAATAATGTTTAAAAAAGGTTTTGTAACAAATTCCGTAATAGCTACAGAAGGCGTCGCCTCGCAGCGACAATGTACGAGTGAGGTGCGGTTGCGGAAGCTCGCCGGCAGCACTGATACACTACACACAAATATTTACCTAAATACAACTTAATTAACCGTTCATTCATATATCCTCACAAGACGTTATCTAACTAATGTCTCCAACGTAAAACAAATCTTATTTCCAAGTCGTTAGAATAGCTATTCAATTATGTTGTAACTAAACGTTGTGGGTGGTCAAAAAAAAAGGATTAAAATAAGCAATTAGAGTGTAAGCCGGCAAGTCCGGCCACAGGATTACTTGTACTTAACGTTTCTGAGGAGCATTGTATTGTAATGTTATATCAGTAGTTTATTCGTGTGAATTTATTTATTTGTAAATGATATGAATTAGTGAAGAGTTAGGGAACGACGGAAAATTACGTTCAATTTATAAATAAAATAGCAAACGAATTATAATTTAAACAGAAATAAAATCCTATAGAGCAAATAACGGCGCGACGGTGAGATGCAATAATTGTTGTCAATGTCGTCATCTTGAAATCATTTTTTTAATAAATTGACAGTCTTCCACCAGTTTCTTTTGCGAGTGAACGTTAACGATATCTCACATAGATGAAAGGGCAATAAAAATAAATCTTTTTATAATAAAAGGGGTAAACGAGCGGCGTAAACACCAAGGTGGTCAACGACGCCCATGGACATCCGCAACACCAGAGGAACTACAAATGCGTTGCCGGCCTTTGTGGAAATTGTAGGCCCACTTCTTGAAGGACCCTAAGTCGTATTGGTTTGGAAATACCGCCGAGAACAGACCGTTCCACAACGAGGCTGTACGGGGCAGAAAGTTTCGCCAAATCTAAACGCTTAATGATACATTGAGTGTACAACTGGCAAAACTGATTTTAATAAACCTTTACAAAGGTAACTATTTACCTTACGTTGAATACATCTATTTGTCAGCTGTACCGGAGTGACGGTATTATAATATAATTGACACATTTCTAAACGTCGTTAAAATATTTATTTGTATCGTAAGTATACAAAAAACAGCCAAATGAAAGGCGACGTATCGCTTACACAAAGCTGTGGTATATCGTTTGTGAACACAATCTGCCGGCGGAGAGACGTTTTGCGGCTTGTGTCGTGTTGTGGTGACAATTTGTCGGCGACGCGACAAAGACGTCGAAAATACACCGGAAGTTGACAAATAATGCCTTTGTACGCCTTTTGCAATTTTAGGAGAAACCTTGTTAATTTGTTATTTTTATTGAGCTTATAATAAGTAGGTTATACTTATAATCACAGGTTTCCGGTTTCGGCGGCGCAGTGACAGCTTGCGGGAGCAGGAAATGAAGTGGCAGGGCAAGGGACAAGGTACACTACACTCGTAGTTCATTGGTAAAACAAAACATTTTAGTTTCCCGTTCGAGCCGGCAGATACCTTATGGTTACAGTTACTTCATAATACCACAATTATCGGCAGGAAGCCTCAGTTTTTATCTTAAGACGGAACACAAGTACATAACTAATTGTTGATATTATACTTCAAATTAATCATTGTTAACAAAAGCGTTGTACAGTATAATACGCTGGGATCCGTAGAACATCATCTCGTGCCCTGCTGTGGCAGAGTAGAGCAGTGTGCCGGCTGGTGGGCACTGCATACTGTATGCTGCAGAGCACAGTATGCAATGTGTAGTGTGCAGTGTGCAGAGCGGCGAGCGGCGAGCGCGGGCCGCCCGCGGCGCGCTGCATTATTAGCGGTTATTAAAGTTTCCACAACAAGCAGCGCGCGGACAATAAACACAGAGGGCGCGCGGAGCGGCGAGGATTACGATATTACTATATAGTTCGTTATATTTTGGGGTTGCGCAGAAAATAAACGAACTTTCAATCAGATAATAGCTGATGGTAGCTTGTGATTATTATTTTTAGTATTTTTTTTTTATGAACTTTGTCATCGTTTCTCAAAATCATAAGAGCACAGCGCCATCTATTGGCAAATTTAAGTAAAGTGTTATCCTTAAGTCATTTTCATAATAATCAGAGATACGTACCAGAATTTTCGAGAGATTTGGACTGCAAATCCTGCAATATTATTAGGGAAATACGAAAACTAAACTTTTAATCCTGACTAAATTTTACATGTAATGGTTAAACCACCTGACACGTCCAGTTCATCATGTTTAATAATTTTTAATTGCTGGGATATAACTAAAATATTTATGTATTGTATTGTAGGCGAATTAATATAATGTTGCGGAACCCGGTGCACTGCAGCCGGCGCGCGCTCGCCGTACACATCATAACATTTATTTACGCCATAAATAAGTCTAAAATTATAAAGTGGATAATCCCGCCTCAGTTCCGCACTAAATATGTGCTCAAATATAATATTTACCCTTTGTTGAGCGCTCGCTGACAGCCGCCGCCTGCGATACAATGTTATATGTAATGAGAGCTCATATAAAGAATATTATTTAACACTTCATTGCACTTGAACGATACAAGAGCGGGAAGTTATTATTATTTTCGTATCCTCATACTTCAGAATGCGAAGTCTTAACTTCTAATATTGGTTTTCTGTCTTTTTACTGATAGAAAAGATTTCAGAACGGACTTTCATCTGCATTCCTTTAATACTAATCAATTGATAGGACATTATCTGACTTGTGTCGGGCCATTGCATCGAGCTCACACGCGGAGGAAGTCCATTTGTGTTCGCAAGAAAAGACCATCCGATGCCTGGAGCGATTAAATTTGTCGCAAATAAAGATACTTAAATAGAGGTATCAAGTATCAATGAAAGTCCCACAATGCTGCGGTCCCACACAACACATACGGCATTGTAATAAATATGTGTTTACAAAAAATAACCTAAAAACCCAATTATTGTCGAACACAGCGCGCCGCCGCCGCGCCGCCGCCCGCTGTGGCACACAATTGTAATGATTTCCGAACTAGAGTTTATTACAACTTTAAGTACTCTATTGTACTGTTTCTTATAAAGAGAAGTACAAGAAAATAAATGTAGGTCGCGGGGTATTCGTTCAGTTTTAAAATTACTACTTTTTCATGAATTTTACACAACCGACATTCAATTGTAGTTTTCGAAGAGATGGGAGACGTTTTTTTAATACTTCAATAGATGCACCTGCGTCATGTTTACGTCGTTTGGTTATTGATATCAGGAACTCGATATTTTGCCTTGAACTTCCATTTTTAGTTGTGTATCAAGGTCGTTTATGATACCTAAGGGACGTCTTTGCATTTATTTAAAAAACTAGCTGTTCCCGTGCGGCTTCATCCGCATGAAATTATAAAAAAAATATTTTATTGTTTACATTTGTCAAATTCTTAATTGTAAATGTCAAAATTACCGTTACCAAAGTAACCTTTTATCCTTAATGTTGGCAGATTGCAGTTAGATTTCTTTCCCACTTGAGGGTTTTTCCAATTTGTTTACCCCTAAGTTTAACAGCGTGAAAATATGTAGCATAAAAAGTGTCGTAAGTGTAATGGGTTTTTATTTAAGAAAGAATTATTTAAAAATATGCTGTGATTGCAGACATCCAACGTTGAGAATTAGTCTGTGTTTACACAATGTTATAATAATGTTAATTTAGTATAGATAATTTTAAATTAACATTATTTTAACATTATGAATATGTCAGTGTCTTTAAATGAATGAGAACACACTCATGTGCTAACTGTAATCACAATATATTATGTCTATAAGAAGTTTGTTATAACATTTGCTTCATTTCTTCAAAACACATGGACTATTTAAAAACTATCAACACAAGACTAGTTAATCTGAAAAAAGGCCGTGATATTTAGTGTTAGTAAGCCGTAGTTTACAATTGTACGTTATAACATTAGTCGCTTTTTAATTTAAGAATTCGTTGTCCGCTCGTCTGTCGAGTCTCAATAAGGATCGACGCGTTATCAGCTAATATTACAAAGTCCAAAATAACCCCAGACACGACCGCGCCGCTTGAGGGCGTGCGGCCGACTGAACTGAGCACTCAAAGTTTACACGTTGAAAATATGCGCAGGCGATGTTTTACGTCGTCGCGGGCCGCGCGCAC